GGAACAGGCTGCCAAAGGCCTTGGGGTAGATCTTTCTAGGAAATCCTTACTTAGTGCTGCTGTTCCTTCTGTCCACTGTTATGTCTCCAATTCCAATTCCAATCTGCACAGAGGGTCTACTAGGCAGGGGCTGATTCTGGAAGATTAACTCCGGGTTGAGATCCACTTCTGTGGGACTCACCATCACTTTGGCTGCAGAAAGCAAGGCTGTTTTGCCCTTATTGTAATTCTCCAGGACCTATGCAAAGCAATCAGTGGAGAACAGCTTTGCTCAGTTACTGTGTCTAATCTAACTCCCTTAATATTGCTCATACCTTGCAAATCAATTGACTAAACACTTATTTCATTAATAACTGCGGTCATAATCCAGAGAACCATATGATTCTTGGGAGCTGTTACCATTTCACCCTCCCACCCAGCCACAGAAAACCGTTTTGAAATATAGCGGACTTATAAAAGTAGTTATGATCAAGCATTATGGGAAGCATGTGCACAGTTGCTATTCCATGACAAAAAAAATTCTCACGTTAGCCTGTCAGTACAGGCAAGCCTTTGAGCAGATCTCTGGATTGTGGCCACGGTTTTCTAAAAGTTACATTGACATTTATCTGAATTTAAAATCTGGATTTGCAAATGCAGATCTACTTTGTACATTTCTTGGGACTGCAGTCTACTCTAAACATGCTATTCTTTTACCATACTGCCCCTTCGTACTTCAGTGATCCACAGAATCATAATTATCCCTTCTTGTATCTCTCTAGATCTGATAGGCCTAAATTATAGCAGGGTAGATTTCAGATTATTATTAGGGGAAATATCCTAATAGCACCGAAGTTTTACTATGGAACCAATTACTGGGGGGACAAGTTTGATCTCACTGGAGTCTTCAAGCAGAGGCTGGAACAGTTATCTGTTGGGGATGCATTTCCTGCAGGAGACTGGACTTGAGGGTTACAAGGCCTCTCCCAAATCTATGTTTCTATTTTGTGATTCTAACTCATTTGCCAGTCCAAAAGATTCACACCAAGGTGCTTAGCATAATATTTCTGATTCTTTTACCACACTTGGTACCCCCAAATCAGATGGCCAATATTACCTTATTAAGACCTTCCATGACTACATATGGTAAGTGTTCATGTAGCATTGCTGGGGAAATGATCACTTCATTAAAAGCTTTGTTGTCACCCCAAATGGCAAAATAGGTAGGTTCCTCCTGATCACAGCAGCTGAAACAGATGTCATGAAAGTCCATCAAGAAAAAGCAAGAAAGGAGAATCCCAGGACTGAAAGGAATCTAAAGTATGGCAGAATTCTCTGTGTACTACTTCACACTCACATTAGCCACACATTACCCTTAACTACAAATAAACCAACTTTGTATTATAGTGTGCCAGAAGGGGAGAGCAGAAACAAGCAGGGTTCATCATTTACTTGGTTTAAGGAAGAGGAGGAGATTGGATTTATACCCCACCCTTCACTACCCAAGGGAGTCTCAGAATGGCTTACAAACTCCTCTCCCTTCCCCTCCCCACAACAGACACCCTGTGAAGTAGGCGGGGCTCAGAGAGCTCTTGACAGAAACTGCTCTTTTTCAAGGACAGCTCTTGTCAGAACTACGGCTTGCCCACGGTCATCCAGCCAGGTGCAAGTGGAGGAGTGGGGAATCAAACCCAGTTCTCCCAGATTAGAGTCCGTGCACTTAACCACCACACCAAACTGGCTCTTTAATGTTCATAAAGCATCCCCTCCCATCTACAGTATTAACCAGTACTATGTAACATCATAAGCGGGTGCCAAGAAGCAAGGGAAATGATGTAATACCTCCGGTGTCCTGAAGTTCTATCATTAAACACCAAGTCTGCCTTTACTCCCAGTTTCACCTACCAGCACTGCTCTGCTGGATGATTGTGAACCACATGAATGATACGCCCAGGAGGATAGAGTGGAGTGCTGGCTGACAGGGCAATGGTTAAATCACTGGGATGGGTCCAGAGACGATGACTGGCCACTGAATTCACTTCAGGCTCTTCGGGGAGCTCAGACTTGGGTATGCATTTGGTTGCTCCCACAATGATTCTCCACTGTTGAAGGAAAGAAAAAGGCTTTTTTCCTCCACAAAAACAGATGAAACCAAAAAAAAGGAAATATTTAATTCCATATTCTATTTGCTTCAGAAATTGAATTAAAGATGCTTAAACTGTTTAAAAACTATGAATCTTGTGTTCTCATTATATGTCTATGACAGAGGAAAGAAGGAACAAAGATAGTACACATTGCCTTGTTTCCTTCAAAAATAAGCATAGAAAAAATAGTCCTACTGAAAATTGAACTTATTCTGCACTGGATATATTTGATTCTGAATCTGTGCCATTACTCTGGTTTCATTGAAGGTTCTAATTAGATCAAAGAAAAACTGCATCTAGCTTTATAGGAACAAAGTTCCTAGTATTACTTGCAGCAACTGATGTCTTGAGGTAGGTGATTTATAAGCTGATCAATCAGTTTTCAGTTATAGTTCAAATTGGACAAATGTTTAACAATATAACATCAGAAAAAAAGGACAGTTGCCCACTGCGAGGTAATTAATATTTAACAGGGAATATCTGGAGTGTGTGCATGCAGGTTATGCATGGATGAAGAATAGGGATCTCCAGTACACACAAAAACAGTTATATGGGGCAGGAAAATTTCCAGAAAGTTTTTTGATGCTATATTTTTCTGTGGAAAATGTTCCACCTCCACATATGTAAATACAGGAAGTTTGTCTACAGTTGTCAAGGGTGTTGCACAGCAAATCAATCATGTTAGGCCCCGATCACACGCAGAATTTGCCCCACAATACTCACGAATGCCGGCCGGATTTTATGGGCGCGATCACACCGACACATCTGGCAAGCGTCCAGCACCCGTCAGCAACCCGTAGCAGTCAGCCGAAGAAGCAGAGTAAAAAAAATCTCAGAAAATCCACTATTAAAGAGGGTGCGACGGGCGGAAGACAGAGTTGCTGGTGTGATTGCACCGGCGCGCTCCAATCGCGTCACAGGAAGCAGGCTGCAAGGGAAAACACCCGCTTCACCCACCACTGCATTGAATTGCGCAGCGGCGGGTCAAATTATCGCAGCACAAATAGCCGCGCTCCCCCCCCCCACACATTTTCTGGTACGTGTGACTGGGACCCTTGATGGGCTAAACGTAGGATATGAAGCATGGGCATGCCCCAAGCATTTATACATAGTTTTGCTAACATTATTTAAATTTTGCTAAAATAATTTAAATATTTAAATTATTTCTTTAAATCAGATTTTTTTAAAAATTAAAAAATTCTGATTCACATTTCCCCAGAAAACCCACATTACAGTACACAAGTATTCATTTATGTCATTTATAGCTCATCTTTCTTGCAAAGATATTGCAGACATGATCACTTAAAAATAGCAAGCTGAAAACTTAACTTTTGGATTCCCAGGCCTCACATTATCAAAAAATGCTTGCACTTTGATCAAGAAGAGCACTGAAATTACTGTCCTAGCATATAATTCATCTGCTTCACAACAACACCTCATGATGCATGTGATCCACTATTTCTTTTTTTTCTTTTGCCTTATGCCAGATAATACTCTGCAAAAAGTGATTATCAGCCCTCTTTAAAAAACCCACTCATTAGAAATGTGCAACTGCAACAGCCTTCTAAAGACTTTTTGGCACCTTAAGGTCACTCTGACATCCAAGAGGGAATCATTCGCTTAGTCAGAGAGAAAAGATTTCCAAGCTTTCTAATAGGCTAGGAGCACCCCTTCTCCCTCTGGCACTTTCCCGCCAAAACACTCACATGACCAGGAGGAGGAGGGGTGCCACGCCCTCAGTGCTCTCCATGCCGCCACCGGAGACCCCTAGAAAACTAAAGTTCCAGAGAGTTCACAGCGGGTCAGGAGGGAGGGATGTGTGCCTGCACAGAAGATCACTTGATGAACAACATTTACAGGTAAGTGCAACCTTGTTCTCATTGCTTCTGTGCAGTCCCACATGGGAAGATTAGCAAGATCACTGAGTGAAGGAGGTGGGTGTGAAGCTCTCAGAAGGAGACCACCGAGGACTGCTTTTATCAACAGTTGTTTAGCGGCACAAATTGACCTTCACCCAGAACTGTCTTATACCACAGCAGTAAGCTCTGTGCAAGTGTCCCCACTGAAATACATGTAGGAACATGGCAAAGAAAAAAGCACTCTTTTAAAAGAGCCATCATACATAGAGTATAATAATTATATTATTATTATTATTATTATAGAGTAGTAATGAAGAGCCGTGCATTCAAGACAGTGGGATAGCATCAACCGACCCACAAGGATGGGTTGTGCGAGGATGCTGACTGTGCATTACATGAGGAATGACAGGCAACCCTTGGTAGGGGATCCCAGCAGGACGTCACCTCTTCAAACTTCATGCATGGAGAGTATATAAGTTAGAACCCTTTCATAAATGAAGCACCACAGATGTGCCAAAAATAAAATGAGGGGTTCTACCCCTCATTTGTAGCATGCTTAGTCATCCAACAAGGAAAAGATCAGGGAGTTTTTGTCCAAATCAGTTGCCAAAAATATATTCAACAGCACAAGAAGCAGGGTTTAAACCTTGCTGCAGCTTTTGTAGAGACTCTCCCCCCCACTTAGAGGTGCAAGGTCTAATACCGCAAGAGTGGTGTTTGCCACTCAGAAAAGTGGGAGGCTACTGCTACAATGCAGGAAAGGAGCTGATCAAAGTATTGATTTGTCAGCAGGAGTGAGAATAAGCAGATCTGCATGATGATAATGAAGGCAGTGAAAAGAGGTGTGATGTGGTTAAAGAAAGGATGGACGCAATGCGCCACAAGAGAAAAAACTTGTGTAGTCTGCAGCAATATAGGCAGAGAAAAAGGCATAAAACAGGTTGTCTTTGTGAGGGATTAGAAGTGCATTCCTCAATTACAGGGGTTGTTGTCAGGAATGAAGCATAAAGGCCAGGGCCTGGAATGTCATATTGTGGGGCCATGCCAGGTAGCCCAGACCTCCAATCAGAATACCAGGGAACTGGTGTCTGCTAATCAGTTAAAACATGATTGCAGTGCCTCCTTTAAATCTGTGGCGCATTTGCACTAAATCCAGAGACAAAGTAAATATCCTTTGAAAAGGATCAATAAAGACCTGTCAAAGTAGCAGGGAAAATTCAATATAGGAGCCTCACATAGGCCACACTAATCTCTGTGCACACTGAGAGGCAGCTAAGTACAGACCCAGTGAAGGGGAACACTGGAATGCTACCACTGGAAGCTTCCCTCTTCAACAAGAGAGGAACTGTCTGTAGGGAACAGGAGAGCGGCCAAGACACAAGACCGCCCAGTAAAAGACACGTATTATGTGAGCAGTGTTCCCTCTAAGCCGAGTTAGTGTGAGCTAGCTCACAGTTTTTTTAGCCTCTGGCTCATACATTTTTGTCTTAGCTCAGGAAGGATGACTCCAAAGCAAACTAATGTATGCAGTAGCCAAATCGCTCACTCACAACTTTAATGCCAGTCGCTCACAAAGGAGAATTTTTGCTCACGAGACTCCACAGCTTAGAGGGAACATTGTATGTGAGTCACCCGATCTGGGCCTATCATAGGCTTCCCTTCAGGTGCTGCACTGAAGACATAAGATTAATTTGAAATCACGTCATTTTTCTTGTCCGGGGGGAGGGGAGGAATGCAACAGAGCACCTCGAAACGGCCTTATAGTGGATCAGACCATTGGTTTATTTTGTTCTTATTAACTCCTAGCATGAACTAGGGTAGGGTAACATGATTGATCCAAATTAAAAGAACAGATTTATCATGCAGATCACCAGAATAGGCTGTGAGTCACAGTGCATTATGATACATTCAAACAGAATAGTATAAAGGTCATAGTGACCTGTTGGTTTATAAACTAATGGGGAAGTGCAGTATAGAAAGAAAAAGAAACACACTGCATCCCATCCGGGTTTATTTTAGATCATTAATACTCTGCACTGGTTAAATAAAAAGTAATCAGTATGTGACCTGTAGGCCAACAGGAACAATACAGATGACCCATGGAATCAAGAATATAATCACTGATTGTAGCAGAGGAGCCATTAATTATAGTTTGCACGTCAGACATCTTGTCTATTAGGCAGCTGTTCTGAGAAGAAAAAAACATGCTGGCCTTTAAAAAGAGTGGTAAGGAGTCTATCCTACCTTGTAACCTGGACTCAAAGAGTCTTATAACACCTCATCTTCTTTCTTTCTTTCTTTTTTTTAAAAAAAATATTTAATCTTCACTAGAACTCTGCAAGGCGGGGCACCATGAGAAGCTGTGAAGAAGGTGCAAGGTCAGGAAACTGTCACACAATCTGATATTTGAACCTGGTCTCCTAGGGCCAGACCAACGCTGAATCAGCGTATGACGCTGGGTCATGCTGTGAATGAAGTCACATAAGAGTGACTCGTGTGGGCTAAGGAGTCCCCCAATTTAATGGACGGTTCCAAAGGATACCATGGAACCAAGAGGAGCGGCAAACTACTTAGGCTTGCCTCCCAAAGCATACTTGTTGATCAGTTCTGAGTTCCCCATGAAGACAGCAACAGTAAGCCTTGCCTGCACTTGAAATAATGTGAGCGTTTTGGTGGGAAAGCACCAGAGGGAGGAGGGGCACTCCTAGTCTATTAGAAAGCTTGGAACTCTTTTCCGTGGCTGGCCTGCGACTGCGCAGTCCCATGTGGGACTGTATAGAAGCCACGACGATGAACTTTTATGTTTCCCACTTGGATAAACTTGTCGAGCAATGACTACAGTTCCTCAGTCTTTCCTTGGATGCTCTTTATTAAGTTACCAGACAGGAACCCATAGGAATGGTTAAGAAACATCTATTTAAGTACAATTATAACAGTACTATCTGTAGAGCACAATGTGTTTGTATCTACTCCATTTGTTGGTATTCTTCCACCTGGAGAGCTCCCCGATCATTGCTCTTATTTGACCGTTCCTTACTATAGGCCTGCCTTTATGTTGGCGCTCCTTAATGCCCCACCAGCTAGAGTATAGCAATGGAGGTATCTTAAGATGCCATGCTCTGATAGAGTATGAGACTGTGGTGCAGATAGTATAGACACCCTGTATCACGTGACCTTTAAATGCAATCATTTTTCTGAGCCTAGATATCTTTTAATTCTTCCTTCATTCCAAAATATAGATCATATGGACACATTACCTCTTTTATTAGAAGAGAATCGCAGACCTATCACTCTTTTAGCTGTGAAATATTATGCATCTGTGATAGATTTTTGCAGCCGTTCAACTGGGGTCTAGCTTTTTCTATATTTTAGTAATCTGCTTAAAACTAATAAATTAAGAAGCAGAACTGCCAACCTAGCAGTTCGAAAGCAAGAAATTGCAAGTAGATAAACAGGTACCACTTCAGTGGGACGGTAACAGAGTTCCGGCCACATGACCACGGAAACGTCTTCGGACAGCGCTGGCTCTTCGGCTTTGAAACGGAGATGAGCACCGCAACCCTAGAGTCGAACTCGACTGGCTTTCAAGCAAGGGAACCTTTACCTTTTATGAGGTAGTAGCAGTAATCTTGGCACATTGGTGGTGTATTACTTAGTGCAGTAGCACAAGGAACAAACAAGAGAAAATTGGAAACAAATGAAAAATATATTCAATCAGGCAGCCATCATCTTTTAATCCAGGAGCAGTCAAAAGGGAAGGCACATGTCCTACTGTACAAATATGCTTCAACTAGCCTGCTACCTGTGATTCGCTACGGTATTTAAGTTCCGTAAATCCAGTTATAATACTGATGATGTAAAATTTGTTGTAGGAATTCTAATGGAGAAGATTGTAGTGTAAAAATGAAATGAGACATACATTCTGTTTTTTCTCTCTCTACTGAAGGACCTCTCTGTAGACCACATGGGTGGTTCTGCCCTCAGGTGCCAGGATCACCAGGCTGCTTGGTGAGCTCACTCTGGAGCAGGCCACATAGAGCTGTCCATGTGAGAAGCAGTCATCTCAATGCTCCCTCTAAGCTGTGGAGTCTTGTGAGCAAAAGTTCTACTTTGTGAGCTACTGGTATTAAAGTTGTGAGCAAGCAATTTGGCTACTACATAAATTAGTTTGCTCTGGAGCCATCCTTCATGAACTAAGACAAAAATCTAGCTCACACTAACTCAGCTTAGAGGGAACTCTGGTTGTCTGTTAAGTCTTGGGAGTTGCTGATGGTCATAGGTGATCCTGCTGGGGCAGCCTCCCTGATGGATTAAAGTACCCTGGCCCTGCTCCTACACCTGACAAACACCCGCCTGTCTGGTATAAGGGGAGGATTGTGTTTAAAGGCATCGGGGAGATGGGGCCAGCAGAAGTGCTAAGGCAATCCTGCTGAACAAGCCTAACCTGACGGCTGTAAGCAGGACGGCTGAAGCAGCCCAGCCATACAAGCCCTGTCCCTGCGCTCAGTCTGCAGATGGTCCTCTCCTGTCAGAGGCCCAGAGCAGACTGAGCCGAAGATGCTAGCCGGGGCTGATGTGGGCGGGACTACACAAAGCAGCCAGCCAACCCAGCCAGCGTCTTCTGACTGACAGTTCTTGCGCCCAAACACAGTAGGTGTGCACTGGAACGTTGGACCCAACTATGGCTTTATATAAGAGGAGAGATGGACCCTGAGGGTAATTTGAGATTTCTATCTGATCTCATTTTATTACAATAGACATTTAAGCAGTACAGTCAAATCCTACTTTAATCTGAGACAATTTTTTACAAGTAAGTCACAGGCTACAGTACTTGTCAGTTTTAGCTGAGGTAGACACACTGGGCAGATGCACATTAAATTCACAGAAGATTGTGCTGTGTTGCAAGAAATCAGAATGGACATGACCTAAACTTTAGATAACTGAAAATATACTGTTTAGGCAATAGCTGAAATACAAAAGCATTACAGACCCGGAGTAACTACAAAACTCAAGGTGCAGAGGTTGACAGCGAATTTGTCCAAGTACTACAGATGTATGGCTATTCATGAGTAGGAGAAATATACTCTGTGGCAGTGTTCAGGAGGTGATAATGCCCCAACTCCATGAGATAACGAAGTTACAGAGCCAAGCTGAGAGAGCCAGGCATTGACAATGGAAAGAATCACTGTATTTAACCAAAAGGAAGACTAGTCCCCCCCCCCTCAAGTGTAGTGTCAAGAAACTGGGGCCCATCTTATATTCTTACTTATTATGCACAATTTGTTTTACGGGGTCGTATTCCTTTCTGGTAAATACAGTATCCAGGGAGAAATACAAGTGGCTATTCACAAAGTATGTGTGAGCTGACATATTCAGTTTCTTTGAGTCAACTTATTAATTTAACAATAAAATAAGAACACAATCTTTGTCAAGTACAGACCGCCCCCAAATGTGCCTGTAAAGAGATCAAGCTAGTTTCCACAAGACTGGCAACATTTAAAGACAGAAAAATCTCCCAAAGAAATAAACTGAAAACAATATTTCTATTTCTACCTATTTATAATGTAGAAATTAAAGCCTAAGCTAAAGACAGAAAGACGTATGGAGACATGGGAGTCAGAAGAGAACTGAGTGGGAAGATGCCTGCCCCTCCCTTCAGGGCATTGCACAAAGGGTTAAAACACACCCTCACAAAGGGGATTTGAACTCCAGTTTCTTGACTGGAGTTCTAAAATAGTCCACAGCTGCTTCTGTGCAGGTGCAGAAGTCCTCCTGTCAGACTGCACAGAGACCTGGAAGAACTAGCAGCATTTTCTGCTGTTTCAGGAATGTCTATGAGATAAATAATTTCATTTCAGCCGGGCTTGAAGTCTTCTTACCTTTGGCTTGTTACTCCTCTGCAGAACATCAAGAAGCTGCCGGCGGAATCCCTCCAGTTGTGAGAGGCCAATCCTGTGAGACAAACAACATCAGAGGCAATGAGGACAAGTATAACTATTGTGAGAATCATATAACCAAGGAACTCTAATGAGGTCAGTTCAGAGAAGAATTACGCTGTGGCACAAGGTAATAAAAGTGTACACAAATGTGAAAGGTGATACAGTAAAATATAACTGCAGGCATTCCACAGCCCACCAGAAAAACATAAGCAGGTAATATCACAGGTAGCCAAACATAAAGCCCACAGGCATACTAGGCAAGACTGTTAACTAAAAATACAGAAAATTTATGACACAGAGGCACAAAATGACAAAGGCTACAGAAATAGGGGGGGGGGGCAAGTATAACAGGTTCATGTCACCAATAAAACGTTTATGTCCAAAAAAAAAAAAAAAAAAAAAAAAAGATTCAGAGACCTTAGATTCCACATGGTATGAATGTCTAAAAGTACCCTATTCAAATCATCAGAGATGCACAAATGAAAGATGTTTTCTTACAGGATAAAACTAAACTTTCAATATTTTTCATACACAGATCTTAAAAGATAAGGTGAAGAAAAAGGGGTATCTCTATCTCCATGGGGAAATTAAGCATATAGATGCGACTGATTAATCTGAAGTCAATGGAACCCTGCTGTTCTATAAGCTTGTATGATACTACAATGTCCTATTTTTTTTTCTGGGCCAAGAACAGTAATGACCTCTAAAGCATTTCATACACTTCTTGCTAAAAAGATCTGTTGGCAGAATTTTGACTTTGCTTGGGGGTACACCTGTTGACTATGACCCACAATGGAGGTTGCCATCCCCAGGCCCTTTCTTCTGCATTTTTGTTAGTGGTCAGCCCTGCCTGCACACACTGAACTACCAACCAACCACTTGGGAATGATATGGGAATTACTTTTATTTCTACCAATTAAAAGCACTGTGAAGTGTTTCTCAAGCACAGTATATCCACCTAGGCTAAGGAGATGGTAAAAACATGTGAGATATTAAAAGAAAATTACACACAACTTTAAGATGATGTTAGATGAAACATACGCAGGTAAGGAAGAAGACACCACATAAATATGAGATGAGATGACACAATATGTACAGCTCAACACACAGCACACAAGTGTAAGATGACACAGCTCACATAATACAAAGACAGGCGTGAGGTGACTACATTCATAGCTCAAGATGTAGTGCACACGTGGGAGATGGCACAGCAGATGTAGCCAGGAGACAGTTCACAGGTGTAAGATGGCTTAGAAGAGGTGACCTGGGAGAGAGTACAAAGGCGTAAATGACAGCACAGATAACTAAGGAAATGGCACAGATGTATCAGATGCCACAATGAACATGACTGTGGAATCAGAATATTGACCTTTGTCAGTTATACAGGCAACTGTAATATAGGGGAGGAACATGTTAATGTATGTGTTCAGCGAAATGTATGTGTTCAGCGAAAGATACAGGCAACTAGGAAAGAGGGACAAGCAAGAAGCACAAGAGGATTGGTAAATGGGAAACAGATGACAACAAGGAGCTTTAAGATAAGAAACAGATAGCTTTGGTACATGATAAGGGAACTGCTTGCTGAAATTAAAAGCTCCAGACTTCTTGACTTGCCTAGGTACTAGATCCTTGCCCAGTACAACTGCAGTCACAAATTCTTTGGAGTACTCCATGGCATCTTCACTGGAAGAGAAACAGAGACAAAAAAGAAGCTGGCAAGAACTGATAGGCAGAAAGACACAATACATATGCATTTAATTCTCTGAATCAAAAATGGTACACAAAAACGGTGGTTTCCTCTGTTTCAGACATCACAAGAAACTTTGCTCTGTTAAAGTTCATAAGTCTGAGAACGTCCAAGGCATGCTCTTGTAATAACAATACCTGAACAGAGCCAGTGTCTGTTTTATAATGTCTTACACATTACTAATCTAGAAATACAACTTTAAAACCCATTTAAATATGGCAGGCTCAAATATGTATAGGATCACCCTTTATCTGCCATATATCCAAATCCAGAGACGCTGTTGATGGAAAGTAAAGAATATTCTATTCCTTTTTAAAATGGCAAACTTACCAGATAATAAGGAAGAGAGCAATACCAGAATGCCCACCCCACCTGCATCACAGAATTCAGCTAAGCAACCCATGGATCATTCAGGTCTCTCTCTCCATTTATCTCTTTCTAAAGCATGAAACAGAATGAAGTCACTGAAGACTACTCAATAGTCTAACAAGACAGTAATATTCTGGAACTGGTAAAATGTACAACTCTGTAAACCACAAACAGTGCACATCATAAACACAGCACACGAAGGTGCATCCTAAGATTAGGTTTAGCAATAAAATGTGCCCACAAGCTATCAGCTACATTTGTATTCTGCCCTTCTGAAGTGCTCAGGGCAGCATACTTCCCGCAGTCTTGAGTAAAGACTACATCCCTAAGACGTATAATAAGGAAGAGACCATCAAGAATTTAATTCCTTTCAGGATGAGTCCTATGGAATAATTCCCTTGAGATTCCTTAACCAAATATCCTGTAGTGATTCCCATCATTAACAATGTAATACACAACTATGTCCATTGAGACTGCCAATCAGGGGCATGCTTCTACACTCTCAGGAGGAGAAGCCTCCTTTCTTGGGCAATAATCTCCACTCTGTGACAGAATCAGCACGTCCCCCCACTCCATAAGAGCAAACGTCTGGGCACGTAAACATCCTGAGAATTGCAGCATTCATGTTAACAGTTGCTGTGTTAAGTCTGAAAATGTGTGGACAGGGACGGCTCAAATCACAGAAGCCGAGAGGAGCCACAGTGACATTTTCAATGCTTCAGTGCTAAGACCAGCTTCCTGCCCCTTCTCATGACAAACAGAAGAAATACAAAACTATGCAAATGAACTGAATTTTTCAGAGTTTATTCTGGTCAAGGAACTGGTCTTTTATTGGTGTAAGAAATGTCTTTAAAAAAACAAACAACAGGGGTTTTTTAACCTCAAAACCTGCATTGCAGATTGTTCCATATGATTTTGTTTGAATTAAACTATTAGCCTAAACCAAATCCAGTGAAGCGGGACTAGATACACTGTGATGCTTTACCATCTTTGTAATATTCTACAACAGAAAAGAGGGGATCGAAATTAACTAATAACCTTTTAACCATATGTTTTGCAGACTTTATGGAGAGATACTAGATTATTAAACATTTAGAAGATTGACAAGATAGAAAACCACAATAGCAGTTTAACTGGAATTAGCTTCCCCTCACAAACCAGGATTCTAGACCAGGATTTAATCCAGGCTTAGAATTCTGGTTTGTGAGAGGGACTAATCCCAGTGAAACGGCACACCTGCATTTGTATGCCATAGTTAAACAGAAAAAAAGTTGTAAACAGTTGCATTGATCCACGTAAAAACCAAGAGCAAAATCAATGTAATAGCTTTTACTGGGGCCGACCAAAATGACACAAAACACAGAGTTAGTTTTAAATCAGGATTCTTTTGCCAGGCTCGGTACAAGAAGTGAGGCACTCATGAACATTCAGGCTTCATGTCAGCTTGATAAACTGATATGACATCTGAATGAAACCGCAGGTGAACCCAATTTAAATTCC